TCCTCAAGTTGGGCTAGGAATCTGCTATTAAAAGCCCTTTCCCTACAGAATTCTGATGCAGATAGTCCTTAGACCATAGAAACATTTATCTACAGGGTAAAATCCAAAAGACCTTTGTATCAATCATCATCCTCTGACAGGACCTGCCTCCCTCTCCAGTCTCATCTCCTGCCACTACACCATTGTGCCGAAACATCTAACTTGCGGTTCCCAGAAAATAATCTCTCAGGCCTCCACCCCTTTGCACTCTATTGCTGTCCTGTTCTGTGATGTCGTTTTTCCCCTCTTTACCTGGTTGATTGGGTCCACTCGGCCTTCATCTTTGCAGGCTGAGCTCCGTGAACTTTGCTAACTTCATTTGTTAAATATTTATAACTATTTACTCATCCATACGCCACCAAACATGATCTAGTGAAGGTAGGAATTTTAGCCTAGCTTAATTTTTGCAGCCCTGACGCTATGCATGACAAAGAAAGGGCTCTCAATAAGTGCTTATTGAAGAAACAAAATTAAATTGTGTGAACCAGGAAGGGTGAAGGCCAGGTTCTAGTTCTTTAGCATTAACACCAAGACACAATCTCTCTTTACAACCATAATTGTAATAATAATTAATTCATAACGATCATGATTCCTATAATCAGTTTGTTATTAACAGCCAAGTTAACTACCCTAACAGCAGAAACAACTCATCACATTATATTCCTGAAACCAAACAAGGTACTTCACAGAACACTTCCTCTCTGAAGCAGAATGATACTATTTGAAACTAGCTGCTACACTATCAATCAAAATTATACCTAGGTCAGATTAGGTAAATCACAGTGAAAGTTTCATCCTTAGACAAGTAGAAAAATCCTTCAATTACAAGACCTGTCCAAAGAAAGGAGAAGTAGAAGAGAGGAATGGTAAGCATCATGAGGGTGAAATCCCTCAACATGATTGTCTGAAAGTATCCTACAGAGAACAATGGTAGTTAAACCCCTGACATCTTCACATTCAATATACAAAAGTATCCTTCTGACATCTAGGAGATACATAGCTCCCTTTTACCATACTTCCAAAATGGTTTATTCACACTTTCATTCCTTCAGTAAATAGGTTGAGAGCCTACTCTGTTCATGTGCTAGACCTTGGTCATGTTGAGTAAGACAGTTATAGGCCTTGCCTCCCAGAGCTCATATCCTAAAAGAGAAGCTAGACACTAATTACTTAACTGCTTAATAAAATTGTGGTAACACGAGAACACAAGTGTTAAGAGAGTATATAGCATAGAACCCATCCATACTTCTGTACTGAAAATCAATTGTCTTACAGTTTCTTATTCCAGAAACCTAATGACCACTCTGCGTCTGCACCTCTTTCAGCAGTTATTCTGAATAACTGCCAGGTTTCCAACTGTAGCTCTCAGATGTACCTCCAGGGAAGGTAAATTTAACTAGTGTAAGAGTAATTTTTCCACCAGTTGCTTTTACAGTATCAATTTTTCTCTACAGCTCTTTGCTCTAATATACAGGGTCACATCGGGGAATAAAATAAAAATCTCTTTTGAGTAGTTTGAGTTTTTAGCCATTTATGGGCAAAGCTGTTTTAATTCAGTAAGCAATAGTAAAGGGCTTACTGTCGCCCTGGCAGGTGTGGCTCAGCGGATTGAGCGCCGGCCAGTGAACCAAAGGGTTGCCAGTGTGATTCCCAGTCAGGGCACACTCTAGGGTTGCCGGCCAGGTCCCCAGTAGGGGGCATGCAAGAGGCAATCACACACTGATGTTTCTCTCCCTCTTTCTCCCTCCCTTCTCCTTCCCCTCTCTAAAAATAAATAAACATTTTTTTTTTTTTTTAAAAAGGACTTACTGTCAAAGACCACACAATGGGAACATGTGATCTTCAGAAAGAAAAGGTCTCAAGATGCAATTCACGTTCCAGTAAAACTGACCACAAAGGTTTTTTCCTTTGGATACCTTTTGATTCGTACTTTTTAATATGAACACAGTACTGAGTAAAAAACTACCCACTAGAAGAAATAAATCTGTACTCTCTACTATTTTAAAAAAGAAGCTACATTATAACTAAAATAACATTAACACACTACATTTCAGTAAACACTGGATGCTTATTTAACTGACCTTTGTTTTCCAGGATAATAGGAAATCTGCTGTCAGACAGGAAGTGAGTCAGATAACAGAAGGGGTGAGGGGGACAGGAACAGAAAAACACACTAAGATTTTCTGTAAATTAGGACCCCAATCTAGAGAAGACTGCTTTTAAGAAGTAGATTCCCTATTACAGACAATGCTGCAAATGAAACATGAGCAATTACCCAGGGAGATAGATCCCAGTAAAGAAGAAGTTTTATATGTCAATATTTACAATGCAAAACAGATAACAGAAGGGGAGTAGAGCTTACGGCAAAATAGGAAGTTATCTGGATTAATGACCTCCTTTAATGAAAGTTGTAAAGCCCTGGCCTGGGTTACCTAGACGCTGAAACTTCTTTCCACTTAAAAGTTTAAGACAAGTCAGCAGCACCTCACTTCAAAATGGTATGGCCCAACATTGTCTGAAAGCACAGGAATATACTATGTGACCTTCTAAGGTCTCTTACAGTTTTTCCAATTCCAATTAGACACAATCCACTATGACTTTTTCAGTTATTCATTCATTCATTCCACAAATGTGCACTGGGTGCCTAGTACGCAGAGTAGCACAGCGCTCAGGCAGGGTAGTCCTGAGGCAAGTCTTACCACTTGGGCATTACATTCTAATGGGGAGACACACTGAAGAACGAATTCCATAAAGATGCAGAGGGTGCTATGAGAGCACAGTTAAAGGGAGAGCAATAATTGGGGAACGCTTCTCCGAGGAATTAACATATAAGATGTGAAGATGAACATAAATGGGGAAGGAAGATATAACACTGAAGACCTAAAAAAAGGGGGGATGGGAGAGATGGCTACTAAGGCTAAGAGAGGCAGACAGCGAGCTGCATGATTGGAAGCTGAACAGAGACTAGAGCAAGATCATTCAGAACATGTTATGAATTTTTGGATTCTATTCCAAGAGCAGTGGGAAGAGAGTGGAGGGTTTTAAGCAAAGAATGGCTGTGACCAGATGCTTATTTTTTTTAAAGATCACTATGAAACACAGAAAAAAAGGTTGAAAGGACAAAACTAAATGTAGGTGAGCAACAATATTAAGTAGTATTGGATTATAACCCAAAGTATACAATAAACATGAACTCATACTAACATAAATAACTGAATAAATAAATATGCACTGGGAAAAGACAAATCTTCCATGCGGAATTCCAAATATAAATTACGTCTATACTCTGCCCTCAAGGTAGTAGAACCTACTTCTCCTTCCCACAAGTGTGAGCTGCATGCAGCGACTTCCTTCCAAAGACAGTAACTTTATAAGGAGAAACCCGACAAACACTACCGCAGCCAGGTGATCAAAGTCAACATCAACGGTGACAAGTCAGGTTGACAGCATGTACACTTCATATGATACAGTGAGAAAGGTACTTCATCTCTGCAGCCTTCCTCCCAAAAACCCATCACCCTCATCTAATCATGAGAAAAAGATCAGGCAAATCCCTAATAGGAGACATGCTACGAAAAAGCTGACCAGAACTCCTCCAAACTACCAAGTTTTGTTTTATCAAAAACAAAAGTCTGAGAAATTGTCACAGCCAAGAGGGGCCTAAGGAGACATGATGCCTAAATGTAACGTGGCATCCTGGATGAGATCCTGGGGCCAAAAAAGAATATTAGGTTAAAAACTAAGGAAATCTGAATAAAGAATGGACTTCAGACCTGGCTGACGTGGCTCAGTGGATTGAGCACCAGCCTGTGAAATGAAAGGTTGCAGTTCAATTCCAAGTCACGGCACATGCCTGGGTGGCAGGCCAGGTCCACGACTTGGGGCAAGCGAGAAGCAACCCACCCTGTTTCTCTTGAGCACATTGCACAGGGGTCTTTCGCTCCCTCTTTCTCTCTTACTTCCCCTCTCTCAGAAAATAAATAAAATCTTTAAATAGCACTGGCTTACAAAAAAAATGGACTTCAGTTAATAATGTATACATTAATTGTGACAAATGTACCATACTAATGTAAGCTGTTAATAACAGGGAAAACTAGGTGTGGAATCCATTCAGAGGAATCAGAATGAAAGGTTACTACCCAGGTTTCTCGCTTGGACAACAAACAGGGTGGATAGAGGACTCCTTCACTGAGAAGGGAGCAATGACGATGAACCAGATTCGGAGGGAAATTTAACCATTTACTGGAGACCCATTATATACTCGGCACTTCTGAAATTCTTACAATTCTTTTGCACGGTAGACACTATTATTTGGCCCCAAGCCAAATAAAGAAATTAGATTTTGGTATCGGATTTGGTTTCAGGTTTATATGTAATCCATAGCCCGCGCTCTTTCCACTACATAGGTCCTTCCTGTGTGCATTCACGCCATCTGGCAGCCCAGGCGCCGCACGCTGCCGCCGAGGAAGCCTCTTCCCCGGGAGCAGTGGAGTGCATCGGCGGTACGGCCTCAGTAGTCACTCCCTCTCCCCGGGCCTCATCTGCCAAAGGATCATCCCACCTCTGAAGTTGTATACAACAGAAAGGCGGGTAGAAACTCCATTAAAATAAAGACAGTTAAGACACCAGAGACGGAAACTGTTTTACCTCTCGGGGGGGCTACAAAATAATAATGATGATGAAGTAAAGAAGCGAAGGGAATTCTCTCGCTCTACTCTCGCAGAGCAGCCTCCGAAGGAAAGGGCGATCCCCGGGTGAGGGCCGAGTCGGGGCAACGACCCCAGGGTGCTCTCACGCACCTCGACCCCAAAGCCCCCGGACTCGGTAAGACCCCCGGAGAAACGCCTGCCAGCCCGCCCTGAGCCACGCGGCACAAGGTGACACGGACCGTGCCGGCTCCTCAGCCGCCTGGGAGAGGCCGGGACCAGGGGGAACAGGAGCGTCCGCGGGGCCCGCGCTACCTTGTACTTATCAAAGCCAGCCAGTTGCTCCGGGCTCACGTATTCGTAACCAGCCATGACGACCCGAACCCCGAGCGGCAGCCACTCTTCACGACAGCACGGAAACACCAGACCTAGTTTAGGCAAGGATGGGAAGAACTGGGCTGGTAATATTGGTAAGAGCCGAGCTCCGCCTACCACGCATGCGTCTCCGCCTCGGCCACTGGGCCACCTCCCGGCGCGCAAGCGCCGCCCTCACTTCTCCCCGCCCACCGAAGGAGGGTCCTTAGCCGGCTCACGCAGTCCGCCCCTCAAGCCGTCTCAGGCCAATCAGAGTGGACAGAGCAACAGTAAGTCCCGCCTACCAGGTATTCTCGTCGATTCATTCGCTAGCGTCAAAATTGGTGAGCTGAGGTGAGAAGAGGAGGAGAGGTGAAAGGTTAGTCTCCCACGGGGCTTTGCCCCTTGCCCCTAGGTAAGGGTGGGGGTTGCGTGGTTCCACAGCGTAGCAGTGGTTTAGGCTATCCCTCTAATCTTGAGGGCAGAGTAACTGCATGCCAAACCAGTTCAACAGTATCTCAGGCTAGAGGGCTTAGTTCCCTCGAGCCATGAAAGAGCAAAAGAAGTAAAAGAGCAGGAAAAGGGTGTGTGCCCTGCCGGCTCCTCCAGGCTTGGAAGCACGCTGAGCGGTGGAGGAGCGTGCTAAACCGGACTTGACCCGAAGAAGCTGGTGAGAGGCTTTTAGCAGTCCGTAAATGGGCGTGAAAGAGCACCAGAGACAAACCTCTCCGCTCAGCGTTATGAACCTTGTATCGCTTAACCATACTCGGCTCTATCAAAGTGCTCCAAATTAACACATTGCGTACCGCATAGAAATCTCTAAGACATACGCCAGGGTCGAATGACCAAAATACAATGTAACTGCAATGCTTTATGGGTTCGTGCAATTATATAGTTTTTCGTAGATTGACCTGCACGGTTTCCGCCAATGAGATCGCTTCATTCGATGTGGACAAGACAGTGTGTTGACATCTAAAGTCCATAGCAGATGGCGCGTGAAAAACGAGAAAACGCGTGAGCGGTACGAAATGTTAAAATAGCTCCTGTCTCCCGACAAGATAAAAGCTGATCTCTAAGTCTCTAGGGGTCTTTAAATACGTTTGAAAGAAGGGTGTTTACATAACTGGGACCAGCTAATTGTAGAAAGAAAACTAAATCGATGACTAGGGTATCAGTCTAATAAAATTTAATAACTAATAAAATCAAAGGTCAGATTACCTAATCCAGGATTATTATGGGTATCCTCTGCTTTTCAAAAGCTCAAATTAGTACACTTCGCTTTTAGGAAAGACCTATGTTAGTACAGCAGGTCCTCCAATAATACCATTTTCATTCATCTTGCTTAGTTATAAATGGACCAGAAAAAGGGGCTACTATAAACTTGACAAGCTCCGGGCGCGGGGGGAGGGGGGCGCGGGGGGCGGGGCGGGCAGGGAGCGGGGGGCCTGCATGACGGGCCTTACAAACTCAGACTGAAAGGGACCACGTAGATGGTCCGAACATTAAAATTCCTAACTAAAAGTAGGTCATGGCCCCGTAGTCGCATCCTAGGCCTGTAGTTTCCTTGACAAAGGTCAATCTTTGCCTTAAGTGAGCCTATCTACTGTTTTGTGTTTTTTTGTTAACATGTTTATTTATTTTTAGAGAGGAATGGAGGGAGAAAAGAGAGGAAGAGAAACATCAATGTGTGGTTGCCTCTCATGCATCCCCTACTGGGCACCTGGCCCACAAACCAGGCATGTGCCCTAAGTGGGAATCCAACCAGTGACCCTTTGGTTTGCAGGCCAGCACTCAATCCACTGAGCCACACCAGCCAGGGCTCTACTGTCTTTTTACATCTAAGATGAGATACCTTTAAAATGTCAGTGATCTCCTTTTCTAGACCCTTCAGAGCACACCCACTGTACCAGAGCAAGAGAACACACAATCCCTCATTGCTATCTTCTTCCCCAAATACCATATGGATATGCTGTAAATGGCAATTACTAACTATCTTTCACCCACCGATGTGGAAGAAATAGGTGCCCCTCCATTTTACTTTTTATCTGGTCCCAGAGGTGTCCCCAATTTGCTTTCTCCCATCCCCTCAGTCTAATACCAATGGATTTCATGTAACCCTCCTTAGGCCTCCTCACGCCTCCTCCTTTGATTCTAGTACATAAAATAAGCTGCAAAACTGCCATTCTCTAGAGCATTTTCTCAATCTGTTGAGCTTTTGCTTTCCAGCAGTTGTCATCTATTTGGCTCCAATAGATGCATAAAAAGTTCTTTACATGTTTGGATGTTTCTTATGTTGACATACTGTTGTTGATAAAATGTCATAGGAACTTAACTCTTGTTTATATCAATTAGCCTATAATAAAAAATTATTTTCAGTTTTATGTGTTATCTGGTGTGATTTGGTTATTTTGGGAGTCTGGGAATGCTTACAATTTTTTCCATATAAGATTAATGGTGATTGGTTTTCATTTTACACCATTTTGTCTTATGAAAGTCTTCATAGGAACATTCTACTTTCAGATAACAGGGGAAACCTGTAATTCCACAGCTCTAAAGTGGTCAACCAACATGAAATGGGGTCTTTGGTATTGAAAACCACTACCTAATAAAGCCTCTTAATCTGGGTTTCTCAAAGAAAGGTAGTTATTTTGAGATCTCTTGTGTTTCTTACATTCATTTATTCAACAAATACCAATTGGGGGCCAATACCAATATATGCCAAGTGTATTACTATTTCTGCATGTCTTGTCCTCCCTTGTAAGAACCATAAGATTCTTACAAGGTAATAGATATAATACCCAGTGCATGGTAGATGATCAGTAAATTTGAGTGTCATTTAGGAATATGTGATCAGATCACCCTGTGAGGTTACTTTCTGTAGAACCCCTTTCTCATCCACAGTATCTTCTACATCTTAAGTTTTCCATGTCCCATAGTCCAGCGGCTTGCAAATAATACACAGTTAATATATTTTGTTGAATGAATGTGCAAAGATCTCTTCAATATTCTGTGAAGTGCCCAGCTTTGAGAATGATATTAGAAATGTAAATCTCCCATTAATTTAAGAAGAAAATTGGCTCTAATGAAAGGAAAACTATGAAACCACCTCCTTGGACATAAAAATATTTCCTTTATGCAGGTACTGTATTTACATCCCTTCTGTGTACTGATAAGAAAACTGAGTTTATTACTGGTGGCGTTGGTGGTAAGATTGGACCTCAGTTCTTGAGTTCAGCAAAGAAAGAATTCAGAGCCGAGAACTCAAATTATAAGAGGAAGTTTATTTAGAAAGTTACAGGGGTAGTAGAAGTGAACCAGCTGGGCTGCACTGGCTCAGAGAGCAAGTTACAGAAGCAAAAGAAGGGACCTTGGAGCTTAGAAGAGAGAGAGGCAAAGATTATTATTGCTGTGATCCATTTTCTTGTGTGAATCCTCAAAAACCTGGGGCAGGGGTTGAGACAAAGTTGCCCACATAGACATCTACCACATAAGGCTTTGAGATCTTTGTGGTATACTCAAGACTATACACTCTGCTTGACCAGAACTTGAACAGAAGCTGGCTCTACTTTTAGGAAACAAGACATACAAGTATGAAACAAGGTGTAAAATTAGCAACTTCATTATCTCAGCATGTATCTTTGCTGAGCATTAGCTGTGTGCCAAATCCAGATACCATGATAGACCATGGAGATAAAAAATTGGATAAAATGTGAGTCCCAAGCAAGGAGTAGTTATTACTGCATTCTGTGAATGACCAGTACTACCTAATGCCCTGGTTCTTCATAGATTCTCTCTTTCCTCCTCCCTCCCCTCACCCCTTCTCTCTTTTTAAAAAATTTACTGTTAAAGTGTTAGATATTTTGTCTTGGACAGATAATTGACTTAAAGCCAGGAAGCAAATGTTTGAAATCAAAAAGAAAACTCTCTAAGTAGACTTTGTGATCTCACTGTGATTGATTTAACATTTTGATGAATAATCTAGAAGGTGGGGTACAGAAACAACTCTTTGAGTATACTAACACTTACAATGAAATATCAGTAGGCATACACTGCAAGAAAACACTTTTAAAAACTAAGCAGATGTCAAAGTGATTTATTGCCACATTACAAACCACTCAAACTTAGGATCCTAAAATAATAACCATTTTATTTGCTCCTTCTTCTGTGGATCAGCAATTTGGGCTGGACTTAGCTGGGCAGCTCTACTGGTCATTATTTCAAGAGGACATAAGTAAAAGTTACAAGGTCTTTCAAGGCCTAGGCTCAGAAGTCACTCAATGTTACTGCTGTCTAACGCTACCATACTAAGCAAATCACAAGGCCAGCCCAGATTCATGGGAAGAAAAATAGATTCCACCTCTTAATGGATGGAATGGCAAAGATACCTGGCAACGGGGCCTGCCCAGATGGGTTGGAAGAATTATTGCAACCATCTTTGCAAACAACCCAGCACTTCAGATTAGCTGCTGTAAGTAAAGGCAAGACAGTAAGTTTCAGCAGGGAGAGATTTAGAAGCCGCTAAATTACATTTCAATTGGTTTTTTAAATTTAATTTTTTACATTTTAGAGAGAAGGGGGAAGGGAGGGAGAAAGAGAGAGAGAGAGAAATTGTGAGAGAGCATTGATTGGCTGCCTTCTGTGTGCGCCCCAGTTGGGGACTGAACCTGCAACACAGCCATGTCCCCAGACCAGGAATCCAACCGACGACCTTTTGATTTACAGGATGACATCCAACCAACTGAGCCACACCGGCTAGAACATATTTGAATTGTTTTAAAGTACTCAGAAAAAGAATGGCAAAAACAGACTAAAACAGTAAAAAACCTTTGTGACAAGGACTCACTTAGTCAACATGAGCTGTCTCTAGCTTCCACACTTCCCACTCACCCTTCAACCTTCTCCAGCCTGGTTTCCAACCTCACCAACTCCACTGAAATGGCTGCTTCAGGCTCCTCCACTTTGTTGCTAAATCACATGGACACTTTCAGATTCCTTAGTTGACTTTTTGTCAGCTTACACTGCCTACCATCATTTCCTTGAAACCTCCTCCTGCCTTGATTGCTTTGACTTATTCTTGTCCTTTATTCTTCTCTGCCGG